ACACAGTGACCGGCACATAATAAGTGCTTAAGGAATGTTTTTTTTTTTTTCTTTCTTTCATTTGCTTGTTTCTTCATTCATTAGAGAAATGTTAGGAGAGGAGTCAGAGTTGATATAGAAACAGGAGTGGGGAACCTGCAGCCTCAATGCCACATGTAGCCTTCTAGGTCTTTGGGAGAGGCCTTTTGACTGAGTCCAAGTTTTATGGAACAAATCCTTTTATTAAGGGGATTTGTTCTGTGAAGTTGAGATTCAGTCAAAGGGCTGAACTTGAGGACCTAGAAGGTCACATGTGACCTTGAGAACACAGTTTCTCCACCCCTGGGTGGAAAACATGTTAGATTTAAAGGGAAAGGAGCTGGGTTCAAATCCCAGTTCTGCCTGTGTGAATTTGGGGAAATGGTTTATCCTCTCTGGGACTCTGTTTGTTTCCTTACTTATAAAATACAGTACTGGAGGACTTCTGACATCCTATTCAGCTATACATCTCTGTTCAATGTAGATGTTTAAATTGTATATCAATTTAAAGTGGAAGGGAATGGGGTGGGATGGGGGGGTACTGTAGACTAGAAAGGTAAATGTTAATCCCTGAAAAAATTCTACAGCAAATGATAAAACAGATGGCATCTGAACCCTTGGAAAAGAATGAGATGATCTCTATGAGTCTCCTTGAGTTCACAGAGAACAATTCATGGGAAATCTCAACTTTCGTGAAAAGAGCCTGAGGCAACATGGAATTATACAAAATATCAGACCAGAAATCAGGCAGTTCTAGGCTCTGCCCTGCTCTTATCTACCCATGGCATTCTGAGCAAGTTATTTAATCTTATTGATTCTCATTTTCCTTACCTGCAAAATGATAAGACTATACTAAGATTATCTCCATAGGCTTTTCCAACTCTAAAACTTTATGATTTTGTGACTTGGTTCTGGATAAATTTGATTGGGAAATGGCTCAGCAAATATATGTCTGGACAAGCAGTATAGTCCACATGGTTGAAATGACTCCTTAATATCTCTGAAGAGTAAAGTACACAGGGCTCCCATATACCACAGAGTTCTAGTGTCACAATTAGAATATGAAATGGAAGGACCCAGTCAAGTTGGGCTTTCACTTCTGAATAGAACTATAAATATTTGTATGTAGCTATCAAAATGGAGAGGATGACCTCCAGCACATTAAGTGGCTCCTCTGTGAAGAATTACGGAGTAAGAATTGCTCAGGAAAAGAAGAAATGGCTGGGTTTTGATGTGCACTGATGGAGGGAGTGGCCACATGGATGAAATTCCAGATCTATTGGACTAATGGAACACCAAAGACTAGTTGTCCTGAATGTTCCTGGGTTTAAAGGACTTCATAGTCCACTATATTTTAAATGTACTGTCAGGTGACTCAAGAATCCATACAATCTTGACCTCTTGATGCCATATTAAAGCTTTGTTGTTTTAATGGTTCTCTCCCAATGTAAACTGTTTTGGATTGCCTTCAACAAAGTCAGTGGTATGCAGCTATTATCAGGGTTTACTGTTGCTTATTCTAAAGGTATTTCTGTATGAGTGTGTATAATTTATCAAGTGTTCTGAGAATGCTTATCAATCTTCTTCCTTTTGGTGAGAATATATTAATTTTAGGGTTGGAAGGCATATTTTATTAATATTGTATGAATTTTTGTTAGGATTCTTTCCAAATCTGCTTTGGCTTTTTCTACATTACCTAATGTGCACATAAAGACTATTATTTTTATCATTATTATTACTCATATAACTCACTGCATACATTCCAATCATATACCATAATCAGAAAGGGAGTTGCGTCATGCTGTGAGATTAAGGGATAATTGGGGTAATCCCAAAATTTTGCACTCATGTGCACATAATGCTTAAAGCTCTGGTCGAGTAATTGGGTAGCTCCTCTATGCATACTTTATGGGAAGAATTGGACAAGGATGAGAAGCTAATGACAGGCTGTGATTTTTCAGTGATGAGATAATGTGGCATGGGTAGATTTAGTAGAGAACATGGAGCTAGGAATCCCTGAATTTAAATCCTGCCTTAAATATTTACTATGTAACTTAAGCCAAAAGTCACTTAACTTCCCTGGGGCTCAGATGCCATATCTATAAAATGATAATACCATTAGCAATTACCTCACAAGGATGTTGTGTCGATCAAACGAGTAATGTAATGGATACCATTTTGCAAACCTTAAAAAGCTACATAAAAATACAAGTGCCCTTCCTGGTGCCAGTGCTGCTGCTATTTCTATTGCTATTATTACAACTACTACTATTGATGGAGAGAGCACCCAAATGGTTAAAATAGATTCCATTTAAGCATGGAAATATGACTGCATCCTAGTATCCTAGGAAAAATCATATCACCCTCAGGAAAATGGCATATGATCAACAAGCTGTGTGTAGAGTAGAGATGGAGAAAAAGGGAGGTAATTAGTTGTTTAACGCTGCCTATTGAGGTGAAAATAGGTGGTTCCATTACCCAGATTTCTTGCTCCAAACAAGCCCTTTCTAAAATAATCATACTGAAATCAAGTCCAATCACTCTGTTCTCTTATCTCCCATAGAACTTTGCATCTTTCCAATTGGATTCCTATGTTCTGTCTTCTTAGACAGGTATGCAAAGAACGGGCCAGGTGAATTAGCATCCATTAGAGGAGCATTCCCACTGTCCTTGAGGGAAAGTATCTATTCTACTGTTTATATGGTCAATGATTGTATAAGACCTACTTTCATAAAACTGGTCACTCTTACTAGAATATACATATCGAGTTTTATTCATCTTTTTAATCTAACATAGAACTTTGCACATTGAAGGAATTAAATACTGACTAAATTAATTAATGATAATCAATTAATAGTGGCAATTCCAAGACTTTAAAAATGGATTTGAATAGCTTAACTATAGGATCACAGGATTTTGAGGCTAAAAGAGGATTTTGTGATAACCTAGTTGATCTCTTTATTTTAAAGATCAGGAAACCGATGACCAGAAAGGCAAATGTGTCCAAGCTCACGTGGCTAAGAAATGGAAGCAACAGAATTCAAACCCTCAGCTTCAAGGCACAGTGTAATAATGAAAAGAAAGAGCACTGAGCTGGAGTCAGATGACACGAGTTCCTAATCCTGCCTCTGATGCTTACTGCAGTGTGATCCGGAGCAAGCCGCTTAATCTCTCTGGGCGTTGGGCTCTTCTGTTAAATGAGAATGTTGGACTAGTTGGCCACTGAGATTCCTTCCAACTCTAAATCTATCTCTAATTATACCAAATGTTGTAGTTTTTCCCATTACAGTTGCTATTTAGTAAGCTAGATTTGTGCATTTTTGAAGATTAAGTGAAATATAATGTCTTTAATACTTTTGAAGAGCTGATTTTACTATTTACTGAGATCAAACATGCATGCTGCCCAAACTGCATAATGCTTTGCAAGCCTGACTCTTTGTTAACATCTACCTAAAAAAAAAAAAAGCGTAGTTACTAGAAGAAAAGCCTTGAGTATTCAGAAAGGGAAAATAGCAATAAGGTTCTGGTCAGCTTTTTGCTGGCAAAATAAAATTTAGAATTAAGTCAATTGTTCAGATAGTTCAAATCAATGAATGCTTTCACCCAAATTATCTGGGAATAGCTATAGTCTGAGATGATTAGCCACTGAAGCTTGACTTGTTCTTATAGAGCTATATCCACTAGACAACTAGGCTTGTGTTTATCTGCTGGCTGTTAAAGCAACTGTTTAACACCAGGTCCCTTAATCATGGTTGTATCTTTTTGCCTATAAAGAAAAATATTTTGATAAGAACATCACTACCTCTCACTTGTCAAAGGATTCCATTAAACTAGTAGTGGTTAACTCCTATAGAATCATCAAGGGATATTCTTTTTCCATGTTTCAGCTTCCAGGAAAACTTCCTTAATCATGAGAGAACTATGTATAGTTATGAATATGTGTGTGCATAAAGCATAGTTACTGTATACTGTTACAGACCAGACTTTGATAGATATGTATTTGGTTGCTGTTACAGTTACCCATAACAAAGGAAATAACAGAAAACTGAATTATGTGGGATAAGGATGTTTCTTTTATACTATACCATGGAAGACATTTGAGAGGTTCATGGAGCTCAGATGTTCAGTTCTATTCCAGAATCCCACAAGGTCAAAGATCAAGAAAATTGGAAAAGTAGAACACAAATCCCTAATGAATTTGGTCATTGTAGACAGTTGTTAGGAGAAAAGAGGATCTTAGGATTTAGAGCTAGAAGGGACGTTAGAAATCGTGTGGTCCAGCCCTCTTGTTTATTTTTGTTTAATTGTGTTGATATCTTCTGTACTCACCTTCATTTCTAAACATCCCACTTTCCCTCCCTTACTCAGCAATACTCCTTGTAACCAAAAAGAAAAAAAAGAAAAAGAAATCTAGCAAAATTAAACAACACATCAATTCAGTATGACAATAAATGTAATATTCTATAACCATTGCCCTCTACTTGTGCAAAAACCAAAAAGTGGATGGAGGGGCCTTTTTTCATCCCTTATTTGAAGACAAACTGAATCATTAATGTTTCCTTTGTTTTCAATTCCATTGCTGTGTACAGTGTTCTCCTGGTTCCGTTTACTTTACTCTGTTGCTATTCCATTTCTCTTCCCATGTTTTTTTCTGAATTCTTGATACTCATCATTTTTCATGGAACGGTGATATTTCATTACATTCATGTACCACTTTAGCCATTTTCCCAACCAATGGACATTTACTTTGTTCCTAATTCTTTGTTACCACAAACATTGTTGCTATGAATGTTCTGATGTACATCAACCTCTCCACTAATTTTGGAGATGAAGATATTTTTGATTTGGCATATAGATAACTCCCTCAACTTCCCCTTAGATTTGACTGCATGCATAATCTGGGAAAGCTCTACTAAGTCTCTTCAGCTGACAGTTCAAAATCACTGAAACAATTAATAAAACATCAAAGAACATGTGTATACCTGAACTCGTGTGACGTGTAGATACATAACACAAGCCACTAGGAAGCATATGCAGAAGACCAGGAGAACCAGGACGATGATACTCCTAGGGGGAGAAATGCATTAGAGAATTGATTCAGTCATGTGAGCATTTCTATACTTGTTCTCTCCATGTATGTTCTTGTCATGTTCTTTTCCCTAACTCCTTTTAAGGTTCAGTTTAAGGCTAAGCATGATGACAGAGGCCTCTAATCCCAGATCCCTTGGAAGCTGAGGCCAGTAGATCTCATGAACTCTGGAGTTCTGAGATACAGTGGGTGTTTGCACTAAGCTTGGCCTCCATACAGTGAGCCCCTGGGGGAAGTGTATTAGGTTGTCTAAGGAGGGGGGAAATGACCCAGGTCAGTAAGCTCCTGAGCCAATCAGTGGTGGGATTGGGTGCATGAGTGGACACTATGCTTCTAACCTCAATAAGAGAGAGAAATTCAATTTTTAAAAGAAAAAGAAAAATATTCAATTCAAATGTCACCTCCTTCTTTAGCTTAAAGTACACAGACTATTTAATTTTTATATCTTTTTTTTAATCTCCAATGCCCACAATAGTTTATGACACACAATGGGTACTTAATGCTTATTGAACTCAATTGATGAGATGACCTTGGGTTCTCAAAGTCTATGCTAACAGAATGATACACTGTATGTCTGTCATTCTTTCAGTTTGTATCCCTGGTGCTTTACATAATGTGTGGAGCTTAATAAATACTTGCTGATTGGTTGATAATTATCTAAGACCCAGACTAGTACAAATACGGATCAGCTAATCACCAGAAGGTTGGCCAACATGTGGTAAAAAGTTTTTCGGCCATAATAATTTAAGAAGACCAACTACTAGGTTGTGGAGGGGCTGTGATCTGTCTTGGTAGAGTATAATCATAATTTTTAAAAAGTAGGTCTAGATCTATGATTTTATTGGAGTCTATGGAAATCCCCTCCCTTCCTCCATAGTTGATCAGATCTTTCCTTTAACTTGCAATCTTAATGTGTTGCCTAGGACATATAAAGTTTAAGTGCCTTTCAAAGGGTCACACAGAAAGTGTGCTTCTTAAGCATGATTTGAACCTAGGTCTTGTTTCCTCAAAGGACAGCCCTCTTTTCTCTCTATACCATTATATTGTACTGCCACCCAATAATAGTAATAATAACTTGAGTTTTACAATTTCGCATAGATAAAAAAGTTCTATAGGCAGTTGGGTGGCACAGTGGATAGAACCTTGGATCTGGGTTTAGGGAGACCTATTTTCAAATGAAGTCTTAGCCACTAGCTGTGTGGGCATGTCACTTAACTTCTATCTGCCTCAGTTTCCTCATTTGTAAAATGAGGATAATGATAGCATCTAACTCCAAGAATTGTTCTGAGGATAAAATGAGATAATACTTGTAAAGCACTTTGCAAAGTTGAAAGTACTATATAAATGCTTTTGTTGTTGTTCAGTTGCTTTTCAGTCATGCCTGCCTCTTCATGACCTCATTTTGGTGTTATCTTGGAAAAGATACTGGAGGAGTTTACCATTTCCTTCTCCAGCTCATTTTACAGACAAGGAAACTGAGGCAAAAAGGGCTGAGTGACTTGCCCAGGGTCACACAGCTAGGAGATGTCTAAAGCCAAATTTGAACTCAGATCCTCCTGACTTCAGGCCTGGCACTCCATCCACTGTACCCTCTAGCTGCCCCGTATGAATGCTAACTGTTAATATTACATAAAATGCTTTATGTACAATATTTCATTTAATCTTCTAAGCAACCCTGTCTGGTAAATAGCAGAGGTAATATTATCATAGAGATGAGGAAACTGTGATTCATAAGGGAAAAGTGTCTTGCCTGAGGCTCCACCCCTAATAAGTGGTCGGACCAGCCTTTTCCATATAGATCTTCTCACACCACTGGGAACAAAGGGTGCTATTTCGTTATAGATGAAAATACTGGCAAACAGAGTACAAAGCCACTCATTTTAGGCCTCTAACCAGTGTCTCCCAGTCAGGAGCATAGCTAGGAAGAAAATTGTCTTTCCAAACACTTTCTACTCATTATTTATGATCAATAAATATTTATTAAGCACCTACTATGTACCAAGTATTGTGCTAAGTGCTAGGAATACAAAAAAAGGCAATCCTCAAGAATTTTCCAATTTAATGGGGGATACAAACAAATATATACAAAACAAGTTATATACAAGATAAATAGGAAATAATTTACAGAAGGGAGACATTAGAATTAAGAGGGATCAAGGAAGGCTTCCTATAAAAAATGGAATTTGAGTTGAAACTTAAGTCATGGAGATTAGTAGGTAGAAGCCAGGGGGGTCAACATATACAGAACAGAGGAGGGAGAAAGAACATTCCAGGCACAGACAATAGCCACAGAAAAAACCCAGAGCTCAGAAATGGAGTGTTCCTGGAATGGCCAGGAGGCCATTGATTGGAGAGCAGGGTGTAAAAAGACTGGAAAGGTAAGAAGGGGTTAGGTTATGAAGGGCTTTGAATGCGAAACAGCATTTTGTATTTGATCCTGCAGGCAATCCAGTGCTATTCAAGTTTTTCTTTATATTTCTTAATATATGAAACACGCAAACATTTAGCAGGGAATTTAAAAATATTTCTTAATGAAAAATGTTTACATTAAAAATTTTAAGTCACATATGGGTCCATTTTGAAATAAAAGGCATTAACAAAATCTTTCAACCTAATTGTTTTCCCCAATGTTGATTTATTGCTTTGGAGTCACAAGGTTCACTTGAGAAAGTAAAGCCACAGTCAATGTAATTAATCTTTGATTGGGAGGAGTGGATTAAGGGAGCAGAATATTTAACAAGGTTTTCAGCTATATTAAAGCCGGAAAAGCTACTCACTGTGGGATTATTAGAAGGTAGACAAGGCCAAATAAGGCAGCTAGAACCAGTGAAAGGACCACAGCACTGGTGAAATACTCATCTTGAAGCTGGTGATACTGTGGAAGGAGAAAAGTTGGAAATTAGATGCTGAGGGGATGCTTGCAAACATTCATCTGAGAGGTATGCAGTGAGAAACAGAGCCTCAATAATATTGATAAAGGGAGTTTATAAAAATGCTATATTATCTCATGAATTTTAAAAATGTTAAAAGAAAAACATCTTCCCTTATTCCTCAAACCCTTTTTAAAATCTGCTTTATTAGCAAAAAGAAAAACCCAGATAAATCATAAAAACCAAGCCCTAAATATCAAGAAACTTTCATGTAGGGTCTTGAGCTCAAAATTTTAAACTGGAGTCACTTACTTTTTCTTCCCGTTCTTTATGTTTGTACTGTAGGGTAAAGAAATTCAAGTCTGCCATCTCAGACTCTGTTTGCCGGGCTTCTATTAAACGGCTGATGTATCTGTTAACTCGAGTTCCTGGAGTGGTGTATACAATATTTGTAGAAAAAGAGGATCGATTCCTGAGTTTTTCAGAGGCTGTCCTTAATGCTCTCCTCTGTAGTATCAATGGAAATAAAAAGACTTGTTCAAAACCTTGATTTTTTAAAAAAAATCATATTAAAAAACCTCATTTGACAGAACATGTGTTTATTTTCTCATCAAACATGCAGGAACCATATTTGCTGAAGTTTCTTTGTTAGGATCAGTTATACAGTTTATGAAGATAATTTCTTACATGATCTTGGCATCTGGCATAAATGGCAATATTAGTGTCAGTTGGAAAAAAAGAACCCTAGCCAGTTTCTATACCAGTTTCATTGGTATGAAAACAAACCTGTAATCCAGAAGAGACTGGAAATCAACCTGGAAATTAACATGGGTATCTTCAAAAAAATGTTTAGTTGAGGGCACAAATAAATATTTAAGTATCAACACTGAGAAGCTCTGTCATGGATCATAAAATATGATTGGCTTTTATCTAATCTTGAAATTTAGAGTCAGAAGGGAGTTATGGATCATGTAATCTAGAGATCACCCATCTTAAAACTAGGTTTGGCAACACATCCTCCATAACAAAGGTGAATGGGCATTTCTCTGTTCTAAGACTTCGGTTGACAATGATGTCTTATTAGTGCATCATTTTCTTGTATGCCATTCCCATTTCCTCATGAGCTTTGAGAAAGAAATATTTTAAAGGAAGTCGTGAGAGTCAATGGATAACCCAGATGGTCAGAAAGTGAGAGTCATTTATAAGAGAGGGCTAGCCAGATCATTGCACTGGTATACCTGAAAGAGTAAAAGACCTAAAGGAATTAGAATAACAGCTAGCATTTATGGAACACCTGAAGGTTAGCAAAGCATTTTACAGATGTTAACTCATTGGATCCTCCCAACAATCCTGTGAGGTAGGTGCTACTATCACCCACATTTTACAAAGGAAGAAACTGAGGCTAGAAGAGTTTCAGTGACTTGGCCCAGGGTCATAAGACTATTGAGAAACTCAGGTCTTCCTGACTCCAAGTCCAGTCTCCATACAATGCACCACCTAGCTGCTTGAGGAAGGAAGAACTCTAGTATATTGAGTAGATTCTTTAAGGAAAATGTATGCCAGGGCATGATCAAGACAAGATGAAAGGGTATGACTAAATTGTGATGGGGACCAGTGGAGGACACACTTACCCCAGTGAGATCACAAGTTGATTTAATTATTGAATGTGACTTCTTTCATCTCCTTCTTCCCTCAAGTCTCAGAAAGAAAGTCCCTCTCCCTTGTCAAAACTAAGTGCTCCCGCTAGTTTCCCATTTTTTCTTACATCTTTCTCTCTGTCTCTCTCTCTCTCTGTCTCCCCCCCATCTCTTCTTCCTTTTCTGCTCCCCCTTTCCCTTCCTTTCCACCTTCTTACCACGGGCTATTTATGATCCAGTTAAAACTCTCTCTCTGACTTGCCATATGTCAGGCTTTGTGCTAAGCACCATAATAAAAATCATAATAGTAATAATGATAACTACATTTATATAGCACTTATCACGTGTCAGCAATATGCTCTTTACAATTATTATTTTATTTATCTCACAACAACCCTGGGAGGTAGGTGCAATTATCATCCCCATTTTACAGTTGAAGATATAGAGGCAAACAGAGGTTAAGTGACTTGCACAGGTCATGTAGCTAGTAGGCATCTGAAGCCAGATTTGAACTCAGGTCTTCCTGACTCCAGGCCCCAGTGCTCTATCCACAGTATCACTTGGCTTCCTAAGTACCATGCATCAGCTGTCATGTCTCCATTGAATTTCCCTTAGCACCTGGGACCTCCTCACTCTAGAACATCCGTCCTTCCCTGAGGCCTTCTCATCCTGGAATATTTCTCCATCATTCTGGCCCTCTTCCCACGTTGGTTAGTCCCTCTTAGGGCCTCCTTCTTGGGAAAGGGCCTGTGCTAGATGACCTTCATTCCTCTCCTGGCTCTGCTTCTGACTTTCTGGACATTGATACTTTGCCTCCATGTCTGTACCTACCCCTACCTCCCACCTTTATCACAGCTTCCTTTTATGTATTATCTTCCTCCATTAGAATGTAAGCTACTTGAGGGCATGGACAGCTTTTCTTTTTGCTTGTATTTTTTGCCCTGTGCTTACACAGTACCTAAAACATAGTCCACACTTCATACATGCTTGTTGCCTTATTGGTTTGTTTTTTTTTTGCTTTTTGTTGTTGTTGTTGTTTTTGCTTTTGTTTTTTGGTGAGGCAATTGGGGTTAAGTGACTTGCCCAGGGTCATACAGCTAGTAAGTGTTATGTGTCTGAGGCTGGATTTGAACTCAGGTCCTCCTGACTCCAGGGCTGGTGCTCTATCCACTGTACCACCTAGCTGCCCCTGTTTTGTTTCATTTTTTTTTTTTACCCCACTATTCCTAGTTCCTAGCAGATAGAAACCTTTCAATAAATATTTGTGATCTGAAATAACAAAGATAAGAAGATGTTATCTCAAGAGTCAGTTACATTCTACAGGAAAGGCTCTCTCCTATTTGGAGTTTCATTTTTTTTGTTTCTATTTTTGTTCTGTTTTATTTTTCCCACAGCAGAAGATTCTTGTTTTTCCTCCCATGTTTGGTTGTATGTTTTTTTCTTTAACTAAACAGGAAACCACTATAATGAATAAATCTGGGCAAAACTGACTATCTATCTGGCAAAAATACTGTTACCTTAATATCAACCTGGCACTGAACAACAATTATATATAGATATAGATGATGTAGATGTAGATATAGATATAAATATAGATGACACAAACAGATAGAGATGTAGATATATAGATGCAGGTATACCCGGAGTCTTGTCTGCAGTCAGAGAGTTTGGGGCTGAGTTGAAAACTTAACTCTTGACAACCAGGGAAGCCCTTGGTATATTGGAAGGTAGAAATGGATGAGATAACTCTACTATCACTTCCACATCAAATTATGTATTTAAGTAGAACCATATGTCTCAAAGTCATTCCAAGCATTTTTACTGGCCTCTTTTTTTTTACTTACAGAAATGCCACAAATGGGGCTAAGTAGAGGAAATAATGATCTTGTCCCCTGGACTTAGCATTGTATCTGCCTTTCCTTACCCACTTAGCTTTGTGGTAAAACAAAAAAGGCTTAAGGTTTGAAAATCAGGGAACTCTAACTCTCAGAAATGTTTGATGAGAATTAGATAAATAACCGTTTTCCTGATTTATAGCCTAACCTTGAAAGATTGAGATTGGGAGGCATATGGAATACTTACCATGAGCTAGAGCATTGTTATTGCTCATGGAAATCCTAAGGTAAGGGACCAGGAAGTTGAGTCCAAAGAAAAGATTGAATGATGGCCATTAGTTTACTGGGAAAACCATGCTATTTGTTCTAATGAATATGGTGCCTATAGCTGAGAATCTCCTGCTGAGGAGATTCGAGGTTTGGCAACCATAACTCTTAGAAAACAAGACAAAACAGAGCATGAGGGAAGACTTTTCTTAATCCCAGGCAAGGGTTTCTGCCATTTATTTAAAAAAATAAAGAAAAAGTCTGTAGGATTTAAGCTAAAAGATCATGGTGGCATCTACTCCTCTCAAGGAAGACATAGCAAAGGATTTCAGTTGATCCAGAAACTGGAGGCAGGGAATCCAAGTGAGCAGCATTCAGTCAAGTAGCATCTGACAGAAACTACAACATGAGCCACGGATCAGTGAAGCATCTAGCAAAGCAGTAAAGGGGTGTTCATCAGAGTGTGTCCAGAAGGAGCTAGCAGTGTTCAGCAGAACAGCTTCCAGAAGAGGCTGACTGGCCAAAAGCAACAGTATCCAGAGGACAGGAGGAGATCAGCAGACAGCAGGCCTAGCGGGAACACGAGGTGCCACCACTAGCAGACGTCAGCAGTTCTAAATTCTTGGGCCCTACAGTGTACCTCACTCCAGGTGCCCCCTACATATGCTCTCTATTGTCCTCGGGACGTGATAGCTGGGTAAATCTACATTTGAGTGTATATGTGTAGAAGAGTGCACCCCAATTGTACAAGGGAAGTGGGTTGCTGTTACTTATCTTATTATGCTCTTTCATTAAATGCTTTAACTTGGAACTAATTGGATCCTCTAGATGACCGCTTAAGGGCAAGCACATCAATAGGAGTTCTGAGCAATGGTTTTAGGAGATTGCACCAGTGGTGCAATTATACATGTTTAACAATTGGCTCTCTGAATGACATACTATTAAGTTTGATCTGCATTATTTACATTTTCCCTTAAATCTAGATAATCAACAAAACCATAAATCAAGTCCTGATTTGCAAATATTTTCCTGTTTCCAAGGTGTAAATACTCACTGAATAGTTCACGATTCCCAAGAAAATATAAGCTGACTTCAGCACATCCCTGATTTAGACACATAAAACACCTTGAATCTGAGGGGTCTACCAGGTGAGTTAAAGGGTTCTCCAAGGTGCTACTTAAAAAATCAACAGGAAAAAGAAGTAGATGGGAGGGAGTTAGTGGCTTTAGAAGTCTTAGGCTCTGGGTCCAACCACTAGCCTCACTTTGTTGCTGCTACCCTTGATATTGGAGAGTTATGTAAAGTTATAGTTCTTGGACTAGAATATCCATCAGTACTTCTCTCTCCTTAATAATGGCTTCCATTTCTATAGAACATTAGGGCCCTCTTTTTTCATAATACTTCTGTAAGGTAGGTAGTATGCATGTTATTATTATCATCTTCACATGCAAAAGAACATCTGAGACCTTTGGTATCTGAAGTACCTCCATTTTCAGAGTAGATTTATAACAATCACCCAATAGCCTCTGGCTTCTGGAACTGGAGATAGAATAATTAGATCCCTTTGGCTTTCTTCCATTTCTCTTCTGCTGCTCTCCCTGCTCTTTAGTTAGAATACTATCTATCAAAGCAATCTCTGATTGTAAAGAGCAGTGGGTCATATGCACAGAAATCCAAAGGGGAAGAGAGAAAAATAAAACTAGCTTCATAGTTAAGCATTTCATTAGGGTTTCCCCTTTCCCTCCCATTATAAGTGTATATATGTTCC